CATATAGGACTACCATACAATCTAAGCTAGAAACATGGCACTAGTGTACTATTCATTATTAAGGCAAATAACATAAGAGCAGGTCATTCAAATTTCCCTCACTTAGGGTACTTCACACGTAGTGTATGCAATTGTGTGTCTCTCTACTGTTTAGGAAAATGGTTTCTTTTGCCCTCCCTTTTTCTGCTTCTGTTTCTGTATCCCTTTGCATTTGTTCTGTGTAACACTTCTCACTCACAGATCTCTGGCCTATCCCTATCACATCACCAACTTTTAGCTTTTTACTGTCTTTGCCTGAAAAATGCCGAGATGGTCTCTTCCAGGAAATCTTAGACAAAAGCCAAAACGCCCAAAACTTTCTCTTGATACTTTTTGAGCTTTTAGCTCTTCATTCTTATTTTTTTTAATGTTTGAAAATTTAAATGGAAACAGTCTGACTATTTCAACAGAACACAGGGGAGAAACAGTGCAGTATGTACTACTCTGAAAATGCACAACTAAGTAACAGTGTAACATCGGGCAAACAGCTTTACCTAGAGAGGGTTTCTCTCCAGAACAACAGAAATACTATTTTTAATATACTTGCAACAATAAAATGAGATATATGAAATTCTCATAATAAATTAATAGATATTATTGTGAGTTCTCAGCTTCTACACATACAACAGAATTTTTGTATGTTTGCATATTTTTAAAAAGCTGTTTAAAGCACCAGTTTAGGCAGATGCAGGGAACAGGGATCCATCCCCAGCATGCAGTGCTGGCCCCACCCTGGGGCGTGCTGAGACTGCAATTGAGCCTGGGCATGATGGGGCTTGCCTGTAATCCTAGAGTATGGGAAGCTGAAAACAAGAGAATCACTACAAGTATGATCTGTGTAGTGAGACCCTGTAGATCCTGTAGTAAATACAAAAATGAAATGAAACGAAATGAAATAAAATTTGTTGAAGGCCTACATAGTATAAGAAATATAAACATGAAAATCAAGTTATAATGTTAATCTCTATACTTTCTTATAACACATATTATGCCCAGAATCATGGAATAAGAAAGCCCACTTTAAAAGTGTTTTAAGTCTGCTCTGAGGAGCCTATGATAGTTTGAGAAATAGTTTCAGTGAAAGAAAAATTGTAGGTAAGAGGCAGGATGTCAGCTAGAGTTTCAGTGAGATAATTTGGATTTTGTCTGGTGTTATACATTACTAGAAGAAAAGATTCCATGTTCTAAGAACCAGCACAGGAATACTGTCGTGAAATTCAACAAAATTCTACCCCTGGAGGCTTTGGCTCCTACTTCACTCTAAGTTTTTGTTTCTCTCAGCGTGGCTGCCATCTGCAGGGCTTCGCAACACCAGCAAAGCACTTGTGCCTTGTGTTCGCTGTGCTGTGACAATGCTGTATTCATTTCAAGTTCCATAAAGCATGTGCATCGTATTAGTTAAACGATTTCCAATGACTTGCTAGAATGCTTACCTCTAATGATTTATTTCATGATTAGACATCCAGAAATATAACAGAGATTTAGATATAATGGTACATTATACCTGCAGCACATTGTGTACTCTTAACACAAACACTGCCAATATAATTTTTTTTTTTTTTTTTTTTTTTTTTTTTTTTTTTTTGGTGGAACCAGGATTGAACTCAGGCCCTTGAGCTTGCCAGGCAAGCGCTTATTCCACTGAGCCAGCCCCCTGCCAATATAATTTTAAAATCTTATCTTGATATTTTAAAAAGTCAGTTTTCAGACAATTTTGCATACTAGTATCATTACTGACAGGGGTACACTAGCCAGAGGAATAGTATTGTGACACTCACTGGAAAGAAGTGCTTATTTTATTCTTCACACTAAAATATCTTCATACTTTCATTACATACCGGATCTTCTGGATTGTACTGGATAACGTACTCTATCTGTCCATTTGGGCCATCATCTATGTCAGTAGCTCCGTTGTCTCCCGAAAATCCTGTGAATATCGTGGTGCCCACAGGAGTAAGCTGAAAAAGAAAGTAAAAGAAAACGTCCCTCAGTTTTCACTTCATCAGGTAAACACCAAGTCTTTTGGCACAAAAAAACAGCCCTTCACTATTCAAGAGAAGAAAGTAGTCAGCTGTGGGCAACTGCAGAATTGGAGCATTTCAAACGAAGCTTGGAAAGTGTACTCAAAAGTGCTTCAGTGTCGGAAACTTCCACCTTCATGATCCTTGCATTGGGTAACAAAATAGATTCAGTGAGCAGCACATGTGGACCTATTTATACCCTTTAGGACCTTAGCAACTGTGGAAAATGAATCTGCTGTTCTTTGAAAACCTCCATGCATCAAGATACACAGCCTACATTTTAAGTAGAACAATGAAGTTAGTTTTCTTGATTTTAAAATCAAGAATCAATTCAAAAACGACCACCGAATCCTAATTGTTAATTATACTCATATACAAAATTTCCAAAGGAAACGTTGGGAAGCATAAAAAACCCCATTTCTCAAAGGAAACTGTTACAAGTTCCTTCAATACTTCTGATGGTGATTGAGTAGAAAGCAATCTAATCACAGGAATGGAAAATAAAGCCACATCTTTTCATTTTAATTAAAAGAACAACAAAACTTGAAGTGTGACACGTAAGAATAATTTGGACATTTTTGCTTTCATGTTTAGCTTTCTTACGAAACACTCCAGAAAAATCACTATTATCTCTTTGCCTCGTAGATGTATGCACAACATATTTCCATATCCAAATCATTTTTGTTGTTTCTTCCTGCCCACCACTCAAGCTTTATCTGGTACCCAAATCATTAGTTAAATTGCAACTTAATTAAGTATCACCACTCCTGACATAGCTTTCCCCACTCCAAGTCAGAATATATACTCCTTTCTCTTGTGATTGCATTTTATACCTCTATAACCTGTGATAACTCAGTAAAGAAATTTATTTTCACAAGGAACATAACCACTGTACCTCAGCAGACCACAGACAATAAATTTTGCACTGATTCATTTTGGTAATTACTGAGAGATTTTTTCATGGAGAAATAGTTTAAGAGTAAATTGAAAGATAAATTTCAGCTATATTGATAGGATGTGCATACTCAAAAGTCTACAAAGATAAATCAAGTAATGTAAAGCAAGAATCCTGCCTAATGGGATGGTCACAAAGAGGAATTATGTGTCTTCTTAATTGTTAGGTGCTACTCAGCCACAACAAATCTTTCTAGAAGAAAATATAGAGCTACAATTACTAGCTCCTCTAATATCCTAATCTTATAAGCGATCTCTTGATTCTAAGATTAGCAACAGAATCTAGAAAACTACACTTTGGAGTGCCCAATTTATATATGTTAGTCCACCAAACACAATCTGAAAATTCTGATTTAACAAAGGGAAAACAAGTACAATAAAAAATAAATTATAAATATAAGGAAGCTGGATATTAATAGACCCAACGCCTTTGGCAAGTGACTTTATAAACAGACCTAAGAAGCTCAGAATGAAGTGAGAAGACATTTTATTTTATTTTCACTACTTTATTTTAAAGAGAAAAATCTAAAAAGATACAGAATTTCAAACAAGGTGATAGGAAATTATCAACAGTTTTATATTGACATTGTTACTTTCAAAGTAGTTACTCAGATTACAGGTAGAGGCATGTACAACTGATTGAACAATCAAAGCACTAACTGTTCTGCTTTTTGAAGCAGTTCTGGAGGTCCTCTTTTGTGAGTATCTTCATTCTTTATTTAT